GAGAATGGAAGGAAGGAAGGGAAGGAGGGAGGGAGGGAGGGAGGGAAGGGGGGAGAGGGAGTAAAAGAAAGGAAGGAAGAGGGGGAGAGAGAGGAAGGAAGGAAGGGGGAGAGGGAGAGAGCACAAGAGAGAGATAAAGGAAGGAAGGAAGGTAAGTAGAGGGGGGAGAGAGAAAAAGAAAGAGAGATGGACAGAGGAAGAAGGGAAGGGGAAGGGAAGGAAAGGAACAGACGGAATAAGAATGGAGAGAGGGAGAGAGATGAGGAAACCACAGATACATTGTTTAAATCCAGAAAATCTGAGCAGCGATGGGTTTTGAGCCTGCTACAAGATTAATCTGGTGGATATCTATGAAGAGAACCTGTTTTATGAAAGAGGACTCATGCAAAGAGTTGGAGAGAGCCTCTCTTCATTTTGAGCATCTACTGCTCACTCAATTCCACCTAACCTACAGCTGTTTTACTCTCTCAATCTATAGGCAGGTCCTTAATGCATGTGTTCCAGACTCAGCTAATTTTAGAATACTGATGTCAATGTAGCAAGCAAGAATTTTCCTCCACAAACTTATTAGTGCAAGAATTAATTTCTATCAATCAATCAACTTTATTGACCAGATACCAGTCACCTGAGAGGTGAGATATTTGATCTTAGCCATCTTGGGGGGTGGTGATTATCCTTCTCCCTAGAACTGCACAAGAATCCAGGAGACTCATGTGACTCAGCAAAGGCCAAAAGAGCCTCTGGTTCTTATGATTGCTGCTAGGAAGCTCATCATCCCAGGCCACACAGACAAAGGGCGGGCAGCCCCTTCTCCATATCAAATCATGGGGACACTTTTTAACAATCCTCCAGGGCACAACTGTCCCCATGTGAACACATTCCATCCCACAGGTCTGCTGTTGCTAGAGAAGCTACATGGAAGCAAGACATAAGTCTGTTTCACTCCAAGAATAAAGCACCATCCCCTCAAGGATGGGTAGCTTCTGCTTTCTCCCTTAGGACTTATCAAACACACAGATATCTTGAGTGTTTGGGGGCATGCAGGGGAGAATTCTGATGAATTCATGTGAGTTGACCAGAAGCCCCGACCTGACAGACATGCAAGGTGTCTGTGAAGGCCTGAGGCCTGAGCTTTTAACACGAAGTATCTGCCTCAACCTCCATGACCAGACATCTCCAATTTCCTTAACCTTTAACCCTCAGGGAGTTCCTGGTGTTTTAAAATGCACCTGGATTTCGTTGGTTGTAAGACACAGAGACACAGAAATGACTATCATCAAAGGAAGAAGTACTCACAGATACCTAGAAACAGGTGGCAGAGTGCTCCACTCAGGGAGCCACACAGAAGCGCCAGGGTGGGTCAGGAGGGCTAGAGCCCTTACTGTGGTTTCCACAGGGAGGAATAAGTAAAACTGAGTAAGTAAATTTAGGGTTAATTAGTTTGAATAATCTCAGTGGTCTTTAGGGTGTAGGAGCTGTCTTTAGTTGGCTGGTACTTGGCCCTGAAGTGATTGAGACAGGATTGGAGCCCAGGGCCTAAGATCCCTGAGAGACCTCAATGAAGGAGACCATTGGGTATGGGCTGGTTTGCATATTAAAGGTCATCTGCAGACAGGTCCTTCACTGTCTCTGGGAATTGGCTATTTATGGGAGTAACACTCTCTCCAGGAACAGCAAGGCCCCAGATGTCAAAGCATCAAAACTACAAAAAATACAAAGGCATGATGAAAACACCTGGGCTAAACCTCAGTCTTGGGAGTATTTTATTTCCAGTCTTCTCAATTTAAAGGACTTGCTTGTACCTGAAGGAGAAATGGTGGTCCTGGGTTTCAGCATCAGTTGCTGTTGTAGTTACTTTTCTCATTACTGAGACAAAATACCCAACACCCAAAGTTAAAAGAGTAGAAGGTCCATTTGGCTTACAGTTCATAGAGGTTTCAGTCCATAATCAGCTGGCTCCAAGGCAGGGTGGCAGAGGGACAACAGTGCATGGCAGGCAGTAGGTAGCAAAGCAGCAAGGGACCTTGACAGTGTCTTCCTTCCCTTTTCATTTATTCAGACTACTTAGGGCAGGTAGTACTCACAACCTTAATCCTAGTGCTCTTGGGCCTAGCACTACACCATGAATCACACACTTTGGATTCAGCCACTTCTGAAACAGCCCTACCTCATTCACATGAGGCTAAGACAAGCCATAACAGTTGCTGGCCCCTCCTATCCCAACCATGACTCTACCTGCAGGTGCTGAAAGAATTTAGCTTGCAGTTCAACAATGCCAGGGCCCAAAGTCTGTGAGAACGCCAGCTGGGGTTATCTTGGCTCTTCCAACCACCTCTGCCCTACCTGACATCCCCAGGAAGCTGGATCATTCTCTCTATTGCTTTTCTTTCCCAACCCCAACCAGGACCTGGTGTTGTACATGAATCCAGATGGACTGTTCTGAAACCTGATGTCTACTGGCCACATGACTTGTGTGTCAAAGAGAAGCATGTCCCTGGGCCCCATAAAAGAGAATCAAACTACTGCAGAAAGATTTCTTTTTGTTTTTATTGCTAGTTTTCCCTCCAGGTGATGAAAATAATCTTTAAACATTCCAACCTTGCATCTGCCCAATTAAAAGGCCAGTTTTAGCTCTTTGCCTTTAAGAGACCTGTCTCCAGCCAACCAAGAATAGTTAATTGTTGTCATCCCCCCATGGAGCAGAGTAGCAAGAAGAGTCAGAGCCCAGCAAGCACGAAAGGAGTCCTTTCCCGATATTACTGAGGCCACTAGTCAATTTGGGGGCTGCTGGGAAAGGGGAAAGAGCAGGAGGAGTTCTTAGACAGGAAGTGGATTTGCCTCCTATTGGGATTAGGGCCAGTAATGAGCATCTCTTTCTAGTTCTGCATCAGTAGGGTTACACTGGCAGAAGCTTAGGTGTAACAGGCTAAGAATCATTTTACAGCATCAGGAACCAGAATCAAAAGCAGAAGGAAATTTGAGAGTGGGGGCCAGAAAGCTGCAACCTCTTGGAAGCAATATAAACACAAGTGACCACCCAATAGCTGCAATAATAGCAAACGTCAGGCAGGACCCTGGCAACCAGAATCCTAACAACCCTCCCTAGAGAAACACAAGGGGCGAGACCTTGGTCTGTCCCAACCCTGCACTGTCTTGCAGTGCCTTTTTGTCCATGGACACTCTAGCTTCCCACACAACCACAATCCAAAAAGATAGTGTTGTTATTCACACTATTTCTTTCACAGTTAGTCTCACATTACCACACTCTCCTTCACTCTTGGAGCTTGAGTTTTCCCAACAATCAAAATGTATATTCCCTAAATTCATGCCTCTGTCTATCTTTCATTTACTCTATATTCCACATCCCATATTTCACTAACCAAAGCCACAGTTCAAGGACCACATGTTCCAAATCCATTGTGACTTATCACCTCCTCTTCTGAAAAAACTCTGCTCCTCCCCCCCAGGGACTCTAATCTTCCCACCCTACTCCCCGAAGCAGAACTATAACCTCAAGTAAGTAGTGCTGCAGTGAGGACAAAACAAAGTACACGAAGCATTCCTTCACAGTCGCATATGGGGATGAGCAGGTCACCAAAGTCAAGATACTCTGAGGTTTATAAAAGTCACAGATCTGCCTAAAACCCAGACCCTGGCAGCTAAGATCTGGCCAGAAATGACCCAGAAAAAGATACCAGTGTGACAGTGGCCCTCTTCTTCCACTGCAGGGGACTTAAAATGATTGCATGTGTCATGGTTTTCATATAGTTAAGCTATATGATTATGGCACAATAAGTCAATGTTTACAAAAACAACATCTACTGGTACAGACAGTGCTTTATTGTTTATGTGTTTTCTCATTTAATCCTTGCAGCAACCCTGAGGTAGGTATTACTATCCCCATTTTACAGATGAATACACCAATGTCCCATGGTTAGAATACATGCTGGAGATTATATGTTTCTTCCTGGAAAACCCTCTGAAATTCCAAACCCAAGGGGACTCTTGAGTAGTTCACAGGCTGCTGCCAAGGAAGGAAAGTAGAGCAGAAAACTTCATTTCGAAAGGACTGGACCATTCACTGGAGCTTGAAGGAATCCCTCAGCAGGGATGAAAGAGGCACATTCACAGGCCAAGACCAGGACTGAGCAGAAGAAGCCTAGAGCACATGGGAGTTGCAAAGCAGGATGGTCCAGACATTGAGAGAGCTGACAGTGTCTTCAAATATGCAGAACCCAGCTTCCATGGACTAGAGAAACAGAGGACCTCCAGAAGCTACAAGTCCAGGGATTGGCCACAGACAGCGAGACAAGGCTAGGAGGAGCTGCCATAGAATGGCACCTTCTTGGCATGGCCCAAGTGCGGTGAGCTCAGGCAGTGGTCCTTTAACTGTTAAGGCCTTGAGAATCTGATGAAAGCCATACCCCACCCCACCCCACCCCCACCAGAAAAATACAGACACACATGTACAGATGTTCAGACAACATTTTACATACAATTTCAGGGAGTCCATGGATCCCAGGTGGGGGACTCCTGCTTTAGGGCAAAGGAGTCAACCTGAGTGAAGTCACTGATACAACTTATCTTTAAGTTGCTTGTATTTCCTGTTACTGTACCCCTTTTGCTATTCTCTAATATTTAGAATGTTGTGAAGTTCATTTTTAATGGTAGCCAAGGAAAAGGGGCTCAACCTACACTCTAGGCAGGGAAAGAGCATCTGTCATGGCAGTGGTGGCAAAAATAAACAGAAGGATGGGGGGTCACACATACTAAGGGCACTTCCCACCCAGAAGGTCACTTTAGGAGCTTCTCTCTACTCAGACTTAGAAAAAGACTGTGGATCATTGGGAAGAGGGGCAGTGTTTTGTTGCCTTTTAGAAAAGAGCTATTTCCCCATCAGGTGGGGTTTGGAGTTGTGCAGGTAAAGGCCCCACTCTAACCTTTTTCCTCCTCCCCACACACCTAAGCTTCAGCCCAGTCACTCATGCACATGCGGCCAGGTCTCCTATGAACACCAATGTATTTACACACACTCTTTCATGGAAGAAGGAAAATTGGGATAGGGGCCTCAGGCGGAGGTTCCATACTGCAGCACAGGGATCATGCACTCACCACAAAGAATCAGTGAAATGGAGAATCAACAGAGTCGTCCCAAGGACTCAGCGCATATTGGCCCCCAACTACCTCCATGACTCTTCCTCTTGACCAGGGTCCACCCAGAAAGCAATGTCAGAGCTCTGTCTCATGCCCCATCACCAAAAAAAAGGGCTCAAGATAGTGGTTCACAGCTGAAGGGTCACAGGGGCTCAGAAGTTGAGGAGGGGAGGCAACCTAATTCACTGCAGCCCTGATTCTCATAGGAATCGGGAATCAGGCAAAGGCCATCCAGGCTCAAACAGGGCAGACAATGATATCCAGGTGATCACTCAGACTCAACAAAAAAAATGAGAGGCCATGCCAGTCTTCCAGGGCCAGTGACCTGGTCTCAGTGGTCACTCTGTTCCAGCATTCACTCATGCGCTAGTGGTCATTTGCCTGGCTCTAGATGGATGTTTCATCGCATGTGGCTAGTGGAGCCCCGGTTAGTCGAATATGGGCTGGGCTCGAGCAAGGATCAAGCAGGAAGGGTGGAGGGAAGCCACCAAAGCCACTGCCCCTTTTGGCCAATGCCAGTGGCAACCGCTCATCTTCAGGAGAAGGGGAGGGAGGATCTTGGCTGTAGCTTGTGGTCCCAGATGGTGGGGCCCCTAGGTCTAAGCCCACCTTGTCTCTAGCCAGAAGTTCCCTCTGTCTCCGTCTCTGCTGACGCCGACCAATCAAGAGGAGAGTCAGAGATGCTACAAGAACACCCAGGAAGAAGCCAGCCAGTCCAGCCCCAACTGTGTGGACACGGTTTGAGGGGCCCTGCTGGCTGCCCCACACCAAGCTGTAAGCTGCTACCACACGGGCTGCCCCACCTTCCTGACATTCACAAGCATAAGCACCCATGGCCCCTGGGCTCACCACCACCTGTAGCCCATCCCGCCAGGGGGTGAGTGTAGTCATTCCACTGGGTTGATGCCACACACAGGATGCCCAGGCAGAGCTGGGAGAACATGGCAAGACCACATGTGCAGATGTGGCCACAGGAACTTCAAACACTACTGGGTGTTCTGCAGAGAAAAAGCACAGACATACAAAGTGGTGAGACTACAGGCTAATGTGTGGTGGTGAGAAATGCTGGGTGACATCATACATGAGACAGTACCATGGGGACCAAGCTAACAAGGAGATTCCCAAAAGGCCATGAGTGACTGGCTGCCATGTTTTCCAGAATCCAAGTTTTAAATCAGGCATGAAATGGACAGCTTTTTAACCCCCTTTTTTTATCCATTCTGCCCATGTTCACCAAACTATACAAACCTCCAGGCTCTTTGGGACACAAAGAAGAGACATCTGCTGACTCTATGTCTTGGACCAGCCTACGAAGAGAATAATTGGTAAATCCAATGTCAGCATTCTTTTCCATCTTCTTAGTACCACAGAACATTTTATTCATGCATTGCATCAACGGCCATCTTATAAATTACCCCTGAAATTAGTTAACATTCTCTTCACTGCCAAATTTTGCTCCAATATCCCTTATATACTTCATCATCATATTTGCCAGGTCAAATTCTACACTTATTTCTAGCAGACCACTGTCTATTGTAAAGATGTTTGGTGGGTATGCTTCAAAAGAAATGGAATACTCCTAAGAAATAGACCTGATTTCCACAGCCACAAGATTTCTCTGGAAAAAAAATACACAAAATAGTTGTTGTTTTTCCATTAGTAGAAAGAGCAAATTTGTTTTTTGTAAAAATCTAAGCAAAAATTCCAGGCATATAAGTTTCATAAAAGCAGCTTGTTTCAAGGAGGAACTCTCTACAGCTGCTGATATATACTGGCTTCTAATGGACCTGTTTCAAACAGCACAATCCTGGTTTTTCCAGAACTCTACTGAGTTCTCTGGCATCACTACCTGAGGACGGGAGGCCAATGAGAACTCTACTAGGACTGTCAGGAGAAGACAGGTAGAAGTCTTAACACCTGAAAGCCTCAGCCAGAGATAGACTCTGTTTGAGTGTTAACTCCTTCAATACGAATTTAAATCCTTGAAGTGAGTCCATGAAGTGAAGACTAGTATGAGTGGGTAAACCGAAGGCTGATCAGTCTAGCTGAGAGTGGATCTAATGTGTGTGAAAATGGATTAAGGGTGTGTGATATTTGGATTAGTCCCCTAACGGGATTAGCATAGCTCTGGGTGTGACTAGTGGGAAGAGGGAAGCCCTACCCTGGGTGTGGTTGACCCAGTTAATAGGCTTGTAGCCTGGATAGAATATAAAGGGACAGAAAGAAGGCAGATTCTTTGCCTCCTTCCAGTACTGCCATGGATGGTTTCTCCTCTTCCATGCCACCCTGCCTCAGGGCCATCTGACTATGGACTGAAACGTCTACAAACTGTGAACTAACCTTTCCTCCTTTAACTTGTAGGTGTCAGGTATTTTGTCCGAGCAGTGAGAAAAATAATTGAAACAACTGGATGTTTGATGACATTAAGAAATTAAGTGTTTGGTACAGTAATGATAATACCCATTATACAACGTAATGATTATAATTTTGAAAGAGCACTTATGTGTTAGTGATAAAGAAAGATTTATGGATGAAGTAATATGACAGCTAAAATTTGTTTCAAAGTAGTTAGAAGAAAGTAGGGTTATTCATGAAGCAAGACTGGCCAGGAGGTGATCGTTGCTGAAGCTGAGGACAGACACATGGAAATCCATTGTATTAGCCTATTTTTTAATATGTTTGAAACTTCCTATGATAAAAATTTTCAAGAATGGGGACATGGATTCAGCTCAGTGGTTCTGCTGCCTCCTTTGCAAGCATAAGGTCCTGAGTTCCATCCCCAGTACAAAAAAAAAAAAAATTCAAGAGTGTCTTTATCTAGTATAGATCTATATTGAAATATTTAGGATGAATACTGTGTCTGGCTTTTTCTTCTGTATGACATGTTTTTAAACTAGCTGCTAACTGGCACACATCTGGCAAGAGCCAAAAATGCTCCTGAAGGTTGAGAATATCAATCAAAAGGTTATTAAAGTAGTCCAGTTAAGAAATGATGACGTCAGTGTCTCTGCACCTGCCTGCCAAGCACAAGATCCTGAGCTCGATCCCCAGAACCAAAAACAATAAAAAAGTGATGATGCCTTGGACAAGAGTGGTGGCAGTAGGGGATGGGAAGAAGGAAGACCGGGGATGTACTAGAGGTACAATTAGAACAAATTACAATATGGTGTGAGCATGTCTGGCTTGAGCATCAGGAGTGACAGAGGTCCCTTCATTGAAATGAGAACTAATAAACAGTACATACTTAGACTTCCTAAATTTCAGTTGTTTGTGACGCATCCAAGGGGAATGTCAAATAGGCAGTTGGATAGGGAATTCTGTAGCTCAGCTGGAGACAGATTTGTGGTTATCATCAGCACTCACATGATATTGGAAGCAAAAGGAGTGAAATCACCTAGAAAGAGTGTGGCAGTATAATGAGAAAGGGGCCAGGAATATCGACAATCAGTAGCTGGATGAGAATGAAATTGACAGAGACAGAGAATACAGAGTTAAAAAAAGAAAAGAGGAACGGGTGGGATAGGTGGCTGTAAAAACACTTCTGAGAGCTCTTGTAAGATAAAAACTAAGAATAGCCTACCGGAGAACTGTCTCACAGACTGACATGAAGTGTCAGTCTCACTGTCTGTCACTAACTGACATGGACTCAGTTCTACCACCAGGACAGGTCTAGCAGAGAGGCAAAGATACTGATGAGGTAGCACCAAATGGACAAACGGAGTTAGTACAGGTTGACAGATGGACATGCAAGTGATGCAGACATCAACAGAAGAAAAAAATAAACAGAGACAGGGTGGCATTAGTGAATGAGAAGTGGGCAAAGCCCTGGAACAGCAGGCCAGAAACCAATACAGCTGTACTCACCCTTGGTGCTCCCCAGCATGGGCCACACATGCATCTAGCCGGAAGCTCCAAGCACAGGCAGGGTCCTGGGCCAGGATACACTCTGAGCAGCTCAGGAGACGACCACAGTTGGTTGTGTTCACTTGTGTCACCTCAGTACGGGAGCCAACCAGGAGCCAGCCCTATTGGAAGGGAGCAGGGTAGGGGAATATGTTGGATGTCTGACCTCAGGGTCACCTGTCTCCACACTCAGGTGTCTTCCTACCAGATTTCTCCAGATCTATAGCTCACATGGTATAATTTCATGTTCTCAACTGGCTGTGGCTCCGGGAACAAAGCCAGATCCTCAAGGACACTAAGCTGGGCTCCAATGCTCACTGCTCGGTGCAGGTGTCCATCCTCTAGGAGACAAGGAAGGGGTAAGAATAATGGCCTAATACTCCTGTGCATGGGACTCTGATGTCTGTATGTATTAGAGGGTCCTCTCTGTGATGAGAGTATACACTATATGACAACTTGTTTGATTACTAAATATACCTGTCCCCAGGTAGAGCACATCATACTCTTTCCCTGAGAGGCTAGTCACCCTGTTTGCCACCACTCTGAGATAGGCTGTATCCGTAGTGACCAGCAGGGGGCGACCATCAGCGGGAAACACTGGCCTGTCCATGAGTGGGTGGTCCCGGATGAAGGTGAGCACTCTATCAGGCAAGGAGAGTGATGAGCCAAACTGCTGGAGCTTCATGTTCTTGGTGATACACTAGAACAAACATAGGGCTGGGTGACACAGTTTCTCAGGGAACAAAGTGTCGGTGATACTTAGCAGCTCTTGCCTTGAGGGCAGCTCTTTAATTTGGCCCTGGGTTGAAGACCTGGCTGGCTCCCTTACCTCTCCAGGTCTGGGCTGGGGCACATCATTGTCCATGACAGGTAGTCCCCTGTTGCAGTCATGTGTTAGCTCTCTGAAGGGACCATTCAATACTGTCCGAATATCTTGTGGTCTGAAGGCACAGATAGCAGAGATGGCAGCCCCTTCCCTGGAAAAGTCATAGGCTCAAAGCATATATCTGTAGGGAGCTAGAGAACAGCAATTTATCTCTTAACAAACGAGATGACCCCAAGAATCACACAGGAAGCCACACAGCCAAGGAGAAGGTCTATCACACTCTGAGGGAGATAGCAATGACACTGTGCCAATCTCATGGTCTCCCACCCCATAACTCTCCACACTGGCAACCCTCACCATTGAGAAGAAAAGACACCATAGAAGATGGGGGTCCCCATTCCAAGATCAGGTCGAAGCTCAGCCATGTCCTGCAGGACTGTGCAGGCTCGGCCATGCTCAGGGCCCGGACACAGCAGGTCAGCCTTCAGGAATGTTGTCCATCTCTGCTGAAGGGTCTTCCGTCCCCCAAGGTCCCCCTAGGGTGAAAAGCACATGGAAAATTCTCTTTAGAAGACAAACATTGAACAAGGAGTGTGGAAACCAATACAAGTTTCCTCCTTGACTTCAGGGCAGACATAAAGACGGGGAGACACGCATAGAAATACAAGAACAGACATACAGACAGAGGAACTGTAGGGCTAATGAGATTCGGGAGTACATAAAGTCACAATAACAATGGCAGTAACTAAGTCAACTGTGCACTAATAATGATATGTTTTATTAAGTTACCTCATATAGTCTTTAAAACAAGTTATTCCACTTAGTCCTCAAAACACCAGCATCATTATTATCTTCAGTCTACAGATAATTTTCAACTGTGCTATAAAACCTGCCCAGGTAAAAGCAAGTGGTATAGCAGGACTTAAACCTGGGTCTTTCTGCCACTGGTTCCAGCTATTAACTTCTCCACTCATCCAATTCCTAGGGACAGTGTGTCATAGTGGTAACTGTGGGGTCTGAGAGACCAGACATTCATCAAGTTCCCAGGAAAGAAGGCAGAGGAGAAATGCAAAGACAGAAACCCAGAGAGGAAAAGACAGGAGGTCAGACAGCAGGAGATGACAAATAGGGGTCTCACCGCACACACACGGGCCACCCGTGGGACCTTGATGTGCTCATACGAGTCAAATGTTCGGGAAGTCTCCGTAAAGAAGAAGTAGATTTCATCGTCACCATCTTCATCCCCCCACTCGGCTGGGCTCAGGGCCATGGCTGCGACAAAAGCTGGGGCTGGGGAGACCAGTGGCCTCAGATCCCCACAGACACAGCCTGGGGCCACCCAGCCTCCACCCAGTCTGTTCTTCAGGGGACTCATCTCCCTCTCCCCACCGTTAAGCCAGGCTGGCAAGGTCTCTGTGCGAATCCAGTCCTCTGCGCGTCCTACAGCCCTGGAGATAATCGGCTCCGTCCCCAGGTAGTTTTTCACAGTGGCAGCATAGAGAACCCCCCCTGTAGGGTGACATGGAGGAGACGGGCTATCAGAGACCCACAGAGGGAAGCAAAGGTGGTTACAGGAAGGGCAGAGCAGGGAATAAAGCAAGGCAGCAACTCTCAGGCCTGAATGCCACTAAATGCCAGGAACGACTATGCACATAACAGGTATCAGTTTATAGTACATACAAAACTAAATTAGCCTGGGGAAGTACAGAAACCAATGTTAAGAAAAAACTGTGCCAATATGTCCACTGGTATGAAGGAAAAATAAAGAGCTCCCTGGTAGAAATCAGATTTTGTCTTGAGTTTTTGTTGCTGGTGTAGTTACTCTGTAATATGCTAACTGTCCTGTAACCTTCCAGGAGGGACACAGGCTTTGTGGCACATTCCAGTATTACTTAAGTATTCCACTATGGTAAAGTCTGAGGGAACTAGTGTTCTGAGTATCAGTAGGTATACACTGCTCTGGAACAAGTCACAACTCTAGAGTACACTAAAATCACTTGGGGGCTTAATCAAACTACAAATCCCTGAGCGCAGAAATTCTTATTCAGTAGAGTTAAGGGGTATCCCAACAACCTGAATTGCAAACTAGCAATCAGAATTATTCTGATGCAAGTGGGGCAGGCCTCAGTTTGAGAAAATTTAAGAAAACACAAGCCCAGGGCATGAATGGGGCTTCACAGACAACAGAGAAAGCAGCAGAGGGACTTGATCCTCTATCCTATACAGTGGAGGAGCATATGCACTCCAGGAATGCTGGGGATTTGAGAAGAGATCAGTCACTCTGGAATGGAAGGGAGGCACAGTTCTTTGGGCTAAATGAGAAGAAACTATGGCCACCCTAATACTGCCAAGGACTCAGACCCGAGAAGGAATACAATGAATTGGGGTAGAAAAAGATCACGGACACCTGGAGTAGTCCTGAGCATCACAAGTACCCTGAAGAAAATAAGATGACATCCTTTTACCACCTATGACTTCCTTTCACCATGAGGCACTATGTTGGGTAATGAGTATGTCACTGCCATCAAGAATTCCCATTTGAGCCAGGGAGGCAAGCAAACAGTCAGACACTAGGAGGCTTGAACTAGTAGAGGGGGGAGTGGGGTTACAAATGAGGATCAAGCTACACCTACCTAGGACAAAGCATGTCTGAAGAATGAGAAATCTGTCATACAAGGAGAACTTTGGGGAGAAAGACAGGCAAACAGCAAAGAGGGGAGCCACATGAATGCTGGTGGAATACTAGTGGCTGAAGCCCAAAGGGTGATAGGGGGCTGCCAAGCAGGGCAGGTTAGCAGAAATAATGCTGGGAGGGTGGAGCTGTGAAGAATCTGCTCCTAGACTGTGAAGAATCTGCTCTGACATACCAACAATGTGGACTGTGTCCTACGGGGAAGAGCAAAATGGCAGAGGTAGTTTTTAAGAGAAGAGTGACATAATCGGATTTTTTTAGAAGACAATACTATTTACAGGCCATTCACACAGTCCAGGCAAGTGTAAAAGGACAGAACAAACACGAGGCAGAGAGAATAAAGGAGATGGACTTAGAAGATATTTCTGAAGTAGAATCCATTAACACAATTTGAAAATCAATTGAACAAGAGATATGACAAAATAGAGTAAAATGATGTCCCTTAAGTTTACACAGCCGATAACAGTAGATTATAATGTTACTACTCAAGCCAGGAAATGATAGGAAAGGTCCATGAAGGAGGCAGTGGAGGGAAAGTGAGTTCCTCAGTCATACTAAGGTAGATATGCCTTCAGGACATCGGTCAGAGACAGAAGAAGGCATTTAAAGAGAAGGGTCTGGGAGAGCAGGACCAGAGTCAGTAACTTGAGAGTCATCACACATCCTGTTTAAGTTTCAACATGAACAGGAAGGTAATAGGGAGAAAGGCAAATGAGACAAAAGTCCCCTGTTTAAGAGAAGGAGGAGCTGCTGCTGACTAGGTCAAAAGTGGAGACACAAGAAAAACTGCTGTGCTGGGAGCTGGTGATGGAGGCCTCAGCAAGATCTTTCAGGGTTCATGATTGCTAGGAAAGCAGAAGAAAGCCATAGAGGGAAGAATAATCACTCTAGGGCCACACATACTCAGAAAAGCTGCATGTGGCAGGCAATGGTAAGATAACTGACCTAGAAAAAACAGCAAAAAAAGGGCCAGGAGGTCTCAGGGCTGCAGTGGTGGGGTGGAAAACCTCTTTAGCAAATGAAAAGGGAGTCTGTTCTATCATTTGAGATTATGGGGCTGGTGTGGTGGCACACACCTATAATCCCAGCACTTGGGGGCCTGAGGCAGGAGGATTGCTGTGAATTCAAGGCCAGTCTGGGCTGCATAGTAAGTTCAAGGCTGATCTGAACTACATGGCAAGACTCTATCTTAAAAAAAAAAAAAAAAAAAAAAAAGATTGTGAAGTGATTTGTAACCAGGAAGACTTGGATTTGAACCCTGATTACTACTTGTACTACTTGCTGTATATCCCAGGCAAATTAACTTTCTTAAACATAAAGTTCTTCAAATGTAGAATAAGTATTACACCACCTTCCACTCAGAGTAAATGCAGAAGGTTTGATGAGATCAACAATTACAGAGCCCTGGCTATGACCTGGCACAAGGTAGGCATTCAATGCACATTAGTTACAGCTCCTCATGAAATCTCAAATAGATATATGCCATCAGAAGGAAAAGGGAAGCTACAAAATGACATCCCTATTCCCTTCCAGAGAATTTCAGAAAATAAATATTGATCATAGTTCCTAGCAGTAAGTGGGGCAACAAATGGGCCAAACTTTTGTACTTCTAAGAGGGAAAAATGTTGATAGAGAAGAACTGGATTGAAAATTTTCCTAACAGCACAATACACAATATCCTAAAGCCAAACTCTGACAGAATCTGTGTGGTAGACACCCCAAGACTGAAAAATGTGGAATGGGAGACAGTTACATTTATTTTGAGAATATGGCTTAGAGTATAAAGTTGGAGGAAAATAATCATTAATATTCTAGAAAGTGTAAAAAGATTACAGATCAACATGCAAAAACCCAACAATGGATGGAGGCAAAGGGTCCCAAAATGTTCTAAGGGATCGGTGGAGGAGCTAGCAACACTGGAACGTAGAAATGCAGAAGAGAACACTCAGGATAAAGTAACAGAAGGTCACTGACACCACAGGACTGCAGGAGAGATCAGACTCATTGAGAGGAAGTAGCAGGGCTCCAAATGTTCCAGGAGTACCAAGAGACTCTGACAGTCTTACACAGACACAGACACACACACACACACACACACACACACACACACACAAAGACACAGCAGCCATTACAGTCATGAGGACAGGGTGACACATGACCACTGTGTAACCTAGATTCTCTAAGACACTATAAATTCCCAATTACTATACAATGGAATTGCAATGTTCACATAATAAAATATCCCTGAACATGTAATCATTTGGCAAATTTGTGCTGAGTAGATCAAGCCCATAAAAATTAAAATACACAGCTGACCATGAGTAAATGATTATGTACAAAACAGAGTGATGCCCAGAGTTGAATTCAGTTGACAAGCTAGTTAGGAAAAAAAAAAACTCTTGGAGCTAACTCAGCCCTGTTTTTAAAAAATACATATACTATACACAGGCACAGAAAAGATTTTTGAAGGAGCTGCAACTGCAGTGTTGATGATGTTTCTTTCTGATCAATGGAATCAGAAGTGATTTTTTAAAACTCTTTTGTATTCATTTCTTTTGTACTTAGCATTGTAATCTCAAAATTAAGATATTTCATTTTGGAAATACAAAAAACAAAGATCAAAAAATAACAATTATGCATGTAAATGGATCCCTACTTGTTCAGATAGAAAGCCTGTGAACACAGGCCTCCCAAAACTGACATGCTAGGATGTATGTCGTCACAGCGAGTATTTTACTACACCACGGGGGTTTCAACTTTCTATTCTGATGACAAAATGTTCTGATGGAGGGGAGTTTACTGGGAATCAAATTCATGATCTTGCACCTGCCAAGCAGGCATGGCACCACTGAGCTACATCACCAGCTCCAAAATGCTCACTTTTAAAAGAAGAATTTAAAAGGAGCCTTTCCAAAGAAGCATAAAAATTATATGCTCATTAGTTTTCAAAAGATTTTAAACATGCCATGGCCCTGGTTTTTGCACCCTCTTTTCTCATGTTCAGATACTTTTTAGGATAAATAGCTCCTACTCTAATGCTCTCCATTTCCTTTTCTACAGATTGAGCCAGTTAAATACTTTTTTTTTAAACAGACTTTTAGTAAGGCATAATTATACCATTGAAGATGCAGTGTTTACTTTTTCCTCTGTTGGTCATGCAGAATTTCTATGACTGTCTTGTTTTAGTGTGAATGCTAACCCTGGGACAGACATACAAGTATTTAAGAGGTGGGCTTGGCCCCTAAAAGGGGCCAGCAGCCAGTGCATCTGCAGCAATTTGCAGCACTCCTTGGCAGATGCATTATCACAAGATACTCTGAAAGCAGTGGATAAAAAAGCACAGGATGTTTCCAAAGAGAAAGAACAAAAGCTTCTGCTCATCTTGATGAAAGCCTGATTTATTACAGAATATGGAAGGGAAGAACCGAGACAGACTGACTGCTGGCTGCAGTTTGAGTACCTCAGTAGGTTGTAACACTGAGCACTCAGATGAAGAAATGCTGGTGGAGGAGCAATTTTGGAGAAAGTGAGCAAAGATGATGATCTCAGTTTGGGACAATGATTTTGAGATTCCTGTGGGACATCCAAGCACAGACGTCTGAAAGGCAGCTGCATATGTGGTTTATACCTTGGTAATATCTAAGGAGGCAGGTACAGATCAAGGAGGCATCAGAATGTGGTAGAAAAAGAAGCCATGGGGCTGGTTGAAATCACAACTACATTGAGCAAGGGGTTGTTTAGTGGAAGCCTAAGGAACCCTAACACTTAAAAAATGAGAAGACAAAAAAAATAATAATAACCTACACCAAGGAGACTAAGCTAAATGATTTTAAGCTAAATGTTACTGCCAAAATACATTCTTCCAAAAGGAAAAAATGGAAACAAAGCTTCTGTATATAGGGAGGGCAGAGGGGTTGCGGGGAGGATGGGATAAACTAAAATAAATTTTATTTTTATAATACATTCTTCTGAACTTGAACAGTACAAATAAAGACACTGAAATCATTTTGATAATTTTAAGGGCAGTACCAATAAATGCCATATTTGAAAACTAGACTTATGAAGCTTCTCCCAAAAGACATACAAATCCCAAAAAACACATAAAAAATTATTCACCCTCACTAGTAGAAATGCAAAACAAAATGTGGTGCAGGAAACCCCTGCTTTTTTGTATATTTGCTAACTATATTACTTAGAACTTACAAGGGTGCAATGAAACATTCATCACTGGTGGTAGGACTATGGAGGCAATTTAGCAAAATCCATCAACCACCATCAAAATCTTTACACCCTTCCACTTAACAATTCCACAGACTGAACTGACTTATATGTCATTTATTAAAGTCAAATAAAGGACTGATTTAATAATGTATAAAAGGATTCTAGTTGCAGCATTCTTTTTTTTCTTTTTTCTTTTTTGAGACAGGGTCTCACTACGTAGTTGAGAGTGACCTGGAACTCACTATGTAGCCCAGGTTGGTCTCGAACTCACAGCAATCCTCCTGCCTCAGCCTCCCAAGTGCTGGGATTACAGGCATGAGCCACCACGCCTGGCTGTAGCATTAATTTTTTTTTTTTTTTTTTTTTGGTACTGGGGATTGAACTCAGGCCCTTGCGCTTATGAAGCAGGTGGCAGAACCACTGAGCTACATCCCTGACCCGAGCAATAATTAATTTTAAAAGTTGAATGCATAATTACATGGGAATATCATCCATATGAAAGAAGAGTATGCAATTACTACAAACTATGTTTTAAATAATTATACAATTTCTATGATAGGAAAACGCTTAATACTAAATGAAATAGGCATGATAATTCCTATTTATTTATAAATACACACATACAGACACAGTAAGAGAAAATCTTCAATATATGCCATAATAATAGCAGTAATTACCTGGTGATGACAGAATTACAAATAAAATCTCACTTTCTTCTTTACATATTTCTAAACTTTCTACAATGCACATTGTAATTTTTATAATGTAAATAAATACTTCTGGTATTATAGCCCAGTAACATTTTCATACTAAAAACTATTTTTCTTAAATTTCAAAATACCTCTATTACTCTTAATGATAGTTTTACAAAATTAGGGGCCAGGGATTTAGCTCAGTGGTTCCAGTCCCTGCTTTGCAAGCGCAAGGACCCAAGTTCAATCCCAGGTACCAAAAAAAGTAATAACAAAACTAACTGGGAATTTTGGGTTAATTCTTACATACTGTTTGGACTAGTTTCTGTATTGACACTTTCAAAACAGAAGGACAATAGGACATAATGGATCAATACTAAAAGCCCCAAGTGAATACTAGCACTTAAGAACAAGAAAAAAATTTAAATGATAGCCCTATAAAGTAAGAACTACAGACAAAATTTACAATATTGGTATTGACTGTGATTGGAATCTGAGGCATCTGGAGACAGAGAGTTTCTAATCGGGGATAGCCATTCTAAACTAAAAAATCAATGATGATAACTTCTATCACTTGCCAGTTGAAAGACAATCCCAAATTGTTTTCCCTTCTTTGGCAAACCCATAATTTTATCATTTGAAAAAAAAGACTCTGTAATGCTATCTCTTTCCACTTTGTCATACAGTGACTTTATTTATGAAATTTGTCTTCTTAAATCACATCCTAATACAAATTCATTTGCTGATTGGACAAAGAGAAATTATGCAGTCACAATGCTTAAAGATTATTACTTGAAACAAAGTGTGTTAATTGATTACTTTGGATTATTGCAACTGAGATGTCATTTATGTTGACAAACAATTTTGTAGAATCAAGAGACATTTATGACTAAAACTTAGAAATCTTTCTCTTTTTTTGGTACTGGGGATCAAACTCAGGACCTTGCACTTGTGACACAGGTGGCAGAACCACTGAGCTAAATTCCCAGCCTAAAGCTTAGAAATCTTTCTTAATGATCCCAATGAATGGCTCAGCTTTTGCCAAAGATGTTGATAAAAGCCAAGAAAAATATTTACTAAACTGTTTTATTTACTAAATAGGTATGAGTAATTATTTCTAGGCCTTTTGGCTAAGATCAAGTATAGTGTCAAACAGGTCTGAGTATAAACAAGATCTCAAGGGCTTGGGATTTAGATCAGCAGTGGCACACCTGCCTCACAAGTGCAAGGTCCTGAGTTCAATTACTGGTACCAATAAATAAATATAAACAAGATCTCATCAATTGCAGTAGATAATAATAATAACCATGACAACTCAAACTTTGTATTTACTTGCCATGTACATTATGTTTATTTTCAAAAAATTTAAATTATTTTATTGGTTTTCAGAAAAGGAAAGTCATTAACTTACATGTAACTTATGACTAAAGAATGATTTAATCTGTATAGCTTTTAAGACTTTTCTTAAAGTCATACATAAAAAATTTTGTTGTTAGATCCTGTGTCTCATTTTTTAATTCACATAAAATACTGTTCAGAAGTACATAAAATATCAATTTTATGATAAAGTTGGCAGCACAAGTCAGTGAAGAAAGAAAAACCAGTATAACTGATGTTGCTAAGCAACTAACTACTAGCTAGGAAAAATTAACTTAGATTCCCAATCTCATACCATTCATCAAAATTAATTTTAAATTTATCAAAGAGGAAATTTTTGAGGAGAAAATTTTTTATCTGATCTCTAAATAAAGACAGCCTGAATTTTTAAAAATATAACTTGGATCCCAGTACTCTGAAAGGCTAAGGCAGGAGGACTGCAAGTTTAAGCCCAGTCTGAGCAATTCAGCAACTTAGGTGACCCTGTCTCAAAATAAAAAGTAGATGAAAAGGTCTGGGATGTAACTCAGTGCAAAGGCCAGGATTCAAACCCCAGTACCAGTGGTGGTGGCAGTGGTGGATGGATACATAGATCTCAAAGCAAAAGATATGTACGTCAGAACACTAGTATCCTACCTCGTAATTGGCCCAAGAATATGAACAGAGGATTTGCTAAGGAAGAAATAAAAATAAGCACTAAAACATGAAAAATATTCAACTTTACTAATATTCAAAGAAATATAAGTTCAAATAATGTATCATTTTTAAGTCTCAAATTAGCAAAGATGTTTTAAATTACAATACATTATGGTGAAATTTATGTGAGAAAACAAAACACTCTCATACATTGCTGGCTTAAGGTGTAAATTGTTACACCCTTTATAAAAACTCAATTAGCAACAGATAATGAGCCATAAATGTTCACACCCTTTGCTGTATTAACCCATTTCTAGGAATCTTAAGGAGATGATCTAAAACGAAGACAAAAAAATATGAACAGTCACCAGGTATGGAGGCGCATGCCTGTAATCCCAGCACTTGGGAGGCTGAGACAGGAGAATCCCTCTGAGTTCAAGACCAATCAGGACTACACAGTGAGTTCAAGGCCAGCCTGAACTACATAGAGCGACCCTCTCAAAAAACAACAAAAAATATGAACAAAAATATTCACTATAGCAATATAGATAATAACAAATCTTTGGAGTAAACTAAATAAAATAACAACTTGGAATTGCTTAATTTATGGTATGTTCAGTAGCTTGATGCCATTAAAAATTATCTTTACAAATTTTTTTTTTTGGTACCGGCAATTGCACTCAGGTCCTTGCGCTTGCAAGGCAGGCAGCGAAACCACTAAGCTAAATCCCCAGCCCTATCTTTACAATTTTAGAATTATAAAGAAATTCCTATCATATGAAGTTACATCACAAAATTCAAATTCATATACATAAAGTATGAAAATGTTGTAACACATAAAATTTCTATTAACCTGCTTTATTACACTATCATGAGAAAACATCCAGGTTTTCAATGAATGTGGGGGGTGTATGTGGGATGGTATAACCTGAAATGCAGTCATGAGGCACAAAAACAATTTGCTTTCTGGCTAACAAAGAATTAAGACAATCATTCTCCAGGAGAGATTCAGGCGTGATCTATGATGAACCTTTCCAGACTTACACAGTTGTAGATTGCTTGGTCAAAGGAAGCAGCCACAGGAATGTACTTAACAATCATTACTGATTCCCTGAACACCAAAGCACCAGGTACCTTATGTGTATATGGTTGTACACAGGCACATATATTTAAAAGGCTAAAAGGAAATAAACCAAGACACTAGCAGTGGTTTTATAAGAAGAGATGTCTGAGAACTGCATTAATACGGTAGCCACTAGACACATGGGGCTGTTTACATAAAATTAAATTTAAAATGACTTCCTTCGGTCACACTAGTCACATTTCAAGGGCTCAACAGCCACAAAAGATGGCTATTGAATTGGACAGTGCAGATGTAGGACATTTCCATCATCATACAGAGACATTTTAGACAGTGTTGTTCTAGACTTATGTTTTTCTTTATGCTTTCTCCAAATTTATTACAACATGCATTGTAGTAGATTCCTCTTTGATCCCAAGCACTCAGGGAAGAATAAGAAAGGCAAAGAAAAAAAAAAGGAATAACACACACTTCAAGGAAAGAAATGACATAGAAATTCCAACAGCAGGGGTGGGGAAGGAAGCAATTAGAGCAAGAAATCACATATTCTTGTCTCTCCCCACTCACCAGCCATTACAGCTGCTGACCGCTGAGCTGGCTCAAAAGGACATTTCCCCCGGCCACTCTCAAGTCTTTCAACCTGCTGGAAACTGGACACGTCCTACAGATCATAAGGGGGCAAATGGTTTAGGGTCACAGGGAAAGGTTATGGTGAAAAGTACAAAGATTGTCAGATGAAGGAAGACAATGCCCATCCATGTCCCTCCCCTGACTACTGTCCCCACCATCACCTACTAATTCCTCTACATAGTCTTCATTTCCTTTCTGCTATCCCTTTTTCATCAGTGTATTCCTTTTTTGCTCAATTCCTTTAGTACCTGTCACCCACATGCTCTGATAAAGGAGTACCTAGAATGGCCCTAGAGAATACTGAGGCTGGATCATGTATTTCCACTGGTACACTACTGACTGTAGAGTTTGCAAGGTGCTAAATAATGTTCCACAGAATGAAGAGGATCAGGGACGACAGCAGTCTCCTAAGGGCGGACCTCTTTAAAAGTCAAAGAAAACTGCAGGCTGATAGAGGATCAGCTGAAGTCCAGGGACCTAGAGAGAAAAAGATCATCTTCCTGCATTCCTACTTGAAGGATGAAAGACAGTCCCAGAGTCATATATCTAAGTGAGGAAGAGAAACCACAAAGCCAATGAAGCGGAGATCTGAATTTGAGAGCCTAATAAGTAAGTATCTTCCTCTTCCACGGACTCCAGAGGAACTGACCTGGATGAGATTAGAGTTCCAACAGAGCCAGCCAGAAGTTATCTTAGTCTAGCATCCAGTGCTAGAAGAGATGTCAAGATAGCATCTAAAGATGGAAATCAAGGATGATTTCAACCTAGGATTGAAAAGGAAGTTAATTGTAGCTGGTTGGGAATCAAAGTCATGGCATGAAAATGCAGGCATGCTATCTCCAGCTCACGAACTGGGTGGACATACAGTATGGCTACAGATTAACTTCTTTGATGGTAGCTGAAGGCTTAACATGTGTATACTACTGGCCCATTGAGACAGCTCATCTTTTGGTTGTAAATGGCAAACAAAGTATTATACTGAGAAACTCTTAAAGGCAGACTATTCAAATGAAATGTTATAATCCCAGCACTCGGGAGGCTGAGGCAGGAGGATCGCTGTGAGTTCGAGACCAGCCTGGGCTACATAGTGAGTTCCAGGTCAGTCTCAACTACATAGTGAGACCCTATCTCAAACAAACAAACAAACAAAAAAATGAGATGTGATCTGAGGTCCCCAAAAGGGGACATTAGGTCAAAAGAGCCTATTGAAATGGAATACCCCTCAGAGGCACAAACATTTCACTTGTGTGGCAGTGGGAACACCCTCACCTGAGAAGAAAGTTAACAGTTCTGTGATTACCAAGATCACCAAAGAGTTCAGTTTCTGGAAATGGAGGTTATCACCTGCTCCTGTCCCTCTTCCCTCTCCCCTGAACTACAGCAGTAACCTCTTTTCTCTATGCTTTCTAGCCCTACCTCCACTTTGTATATCCACCCCAGCTTTATTCTCCAAAGTAGCAGCCACTTACCAGATAGTGGATTTCTAAGCATAAGAGTACAAAAAGGTCCACTACTGCCAAGATCAATCTATTTATTTTCCACTGCTTTTTTCTTTTTTTGGTACCAGGGATTGAACTCAGGACCTCGCACTTGCAAGACAGGTGGTGCAACCAGTAAGCTAAATCCCTAGCCCTCCACTACTTCTTAAAATAATCTCTATTCTATCCAAATCAAATCATCTAATTCTGGAAAACACATGCTTTCCCATATCTCTATCTGAGAGTTTTTAGTTTTCCCTCACATTTCACCAAAGATTATAAAGATGAGGCTTGGGCTGGGGATTTAGCTCAGTGATCCCACCGCCTGCCTCGCAAGCACAAGGTCCCGAGTTCCATATCCGGTACCAAAAAAAGATAAAACTTTTTCTCAGTTCTCAATCTCTCCCATCTTTATACACCATTTGACACTTGATTCACTGTCTTTCTTGAAATATTCTATTATTTGGCTCTTGAAGCTCTTCCTTTCTGGAGTCCCTATTCCTACCAAATTATTGTTTCTCTATTTCCTCTTTAGCACCTACACATGTATCTTAAAGACCTACTCAAAGTCCTTTTCACATATCTTTCAAAAGTCCCATTCATTCTTATATCTCCAGCCCTTCTATGCAAATCATCCCCTAAAATCTAAGTCTAATGTCTTCCAAACCCTAGTCCATGTTTTTGTTTGACTGCTACAGCCTCTCAGAGAGATCAACCATCAAATCCTTAAAACTCAGTGTGCCAAAAGTAGTCTCGTTCCAGTTTCTTCCAATGGCTGAATCCTTCTAATCTTTGAGAAAATGAGCCACTCATTAAAAAACTAGGTATGCTGTGATTATTTCATGGTCAAAATGACCTTGATCTTTCCACTATACGCTCTATTGATATGTTTAGATTTGTTACTGTATTATTGTATCAGTCAGCAGAATCTCCCAAAGATCAGCTGAGTGAAGGCAAGTCCCACAAGGTGAAAGCCAGGGCTGAACAGGAAGGCTCTCATTAAGCAGTTAGGTTGGAACTGGTCCTTTGCCCTTGGTCAAGAAGGGAAGAAGGCATATAAAGGGAGTCTCCCAGATGATAAAGAAAAAAGAAAAGATGGCTCCTGATACATGAAACATGTCACATGTCACGAGAAACTGAGGTCAGATAAGGTCTTCTAGGATATAGCCTGGACTACTGACACAGAGTAGTAGAAAAGAGCCAGACAAATCTAGGCTTAAATTTTGGCTCTGTTTCTACTAGCTACAGAATCTTAGACAGAATAGCTCTTTTCTCTGAACTTCAATTTCCTTTCTTACAAAATGGAAATAAATAACACTTAAGTGTCATGATGAAAATTAAGCCTAATCATAAATGTAAAGTACAAATACCAAGCCTACAACAGAGTAGATACTCAAATGGTCATCACTGGTGTCATTGTTGTTAGACGCCTAACATTTTTCTGTTAACTGCTGAATTTCCTCAACAAATCAAACTAAAATATTTTTCTTCATTGTCTGATGAAATAACACTGAGGAACAATACTCCATTGTTAGAAATGGTAGATCAAGTGTTTCAACTTCCTTTTTTTTAAGAATCTCATTTCAACATGAGCAATTCTGAGCAAGTTACTGTGTCTAGATCAACCTTCTAAAAAAAAAAGTCATATATAGTCTCTGCATCATCAGTTTAGGACAAGAGAAGTTTCAAGCACTACGTATAAGGCAAAAACTTTGTCAAGTAGATTGAGATTGACAACTAGGATAAGAGAGGTAAAAGCAAAAGAGAATGTTCAAAACGTCTATACAGCAGGCTCAGTTCATGGCTTGAACAGCTACCAGAACTGACTTCTTTCTTCTACAAATAATCTTTCATGAACCTGCTATAAAGGAGGGTTCAAAGAGCCAAAATGGAAGGAGTACAAGACATAGCTTCATTCTGTGTTGCTGATGTCCCTCAAGAACGGATAGAGGTCCAAGTCACCACAAATCATAAGAGATATGTCCAGAATATTTTCCCTCTACATACCTTATCTAACAACCATATGGCCACAAGGAAAAAAGTGTTGTAGGGACAACACTATCTTGATGATCATACTGTCTCTAAGCCAGGGCTCTGATATCCACATCTATGGGATCCATGAGCCTCTGTAGACTGGAAATGAACAAATATGGCAATAGCAATGTCACTACTTGTGAGCTTGTTGAGAACTGTACAAAAATTAGATCCTCAGCATTACCTGATGGAATATAGACTTTTTTTATATCATCATAAAGTAGAGAAGCATTCCAGGATGAGGGAGCTATTCAGGCTTTTGTAAGGAGCCCATCACCCCCATTCTGGACAGGACTCAGCATAAATCTAACCCCAGGGCTGGCCTAGAGGGACTGACTGTAGCAATCCAGCATACACAATTATAGCCTCCTGAGCCAGAGATATGAGGATGGTCTATAATTGAGAGGTTTACAGATACACACTGACTAGATCCAGGTGGATAATTGGATCACTGAAAACTACAGACGTATATAGTCAAGATTTACAGTTAAGAATCAGGATCAAGAAAGGAGATGCTGCATTCCACTGGATACAATGGACATATGATGTTTTTAACCCACCCTAGGGCCTGTCTACAAGTGTGTGTTGCCGGAGGACTAGTGCTGGCTGCTGTATAACTGATGGGGAAAACTGAGAGTTTAACAATAGTCACCATACCAGGGATTCATGTGGCCATGACTACAGGAGTATATGTGTCCCAAGACTGCTTGGGTGTGAAGGTGGTGAAGCCCAGGCCTTCAGCAGTAATGAACAGGATCCAAAAGAAAACATGGTTGGCAGAGCGCTCACCCTGAAGGCAAGCTCCAGAATATGGGTCTAGCAGGTATCACATTAGTGGGCAGTGACATCAGAAGGCAGAGAGCAGAGAGCAGAATGAGGGTGAGAATGGAGGTGAGGGAGGACGGTAAGAGAGAGGTACAAGCTATGAAGGAAAAAAACAGATATTTGCTACACTGACTAAGAAACAAACCCAGGCTTCCTGGCTAAAGCATGCACAGGGCAAGGGAAATATGAGTTCCTGCTTTCTGAAGTCTCTTGAATTTATCTTTTCTTTCCCTAGCCTAACTAACTTTCCTAACTTCTTTCCTAACTGTCCTACTGCATCTTTTCATATTTTGTACAACTCACCCTCTGCAGACAACCTCCCTCTCCCTCTGCATGCTACCCTTCCTGTGAAGACAACCCCTACCCGCAACGATTATCATGCATAGTGGTTGACTTAAGCACACCCAACATGGTCACTCACTGAAAACCCTTCCCATCCTCCCACTCACCACCCCCAAATAACTCACACTGGTGCAGGTGCCTTCTCCCTCTCCTCCCACCCCTGTCACTCACAATAACCCCGCACTTCGGATCAAAAGCGAAGGTGCCACAAGTGAGGAGGTGAGAGGCATTGGCAATGACGAGAATCTGGACAAAATTGTGACATTCATCCTGGGGGTCAGAGATGGTTAGAGAGAATCAGAAGCAGCAAGTGTGCAGAAGGGTTAGCTAATGTCAAGACAGTTAGATGCAGCTCTGGGATCAGGGATGATGGGTGATGGCTTCATCTCTGCCTGGGCCCATTGTGACAGGTGCAACAGGGCACCAACAGCAAGTCAGGGCTGGACCAAGGACTGAATGAACACTCAGAACAGGGCCAGGATTTATACCTACCTCTTTCTTGCCTTTCTTTTTACAGTTCTGTCTGTGAGCCTCGGGCACCATCCAGTCAATCTGAGAAAGAAAAAAATGACCATTTTCCTCAAATTCCTTCTACTCTAAACTCCCTCAAGATCAAGGTAGGGTGACAGTTCCAAACTTCCCCCATTTGGAACTTCTGAGATCCCTCTAGAACACTGCTTTTCAAACTGGAGGTCACCACCCAGCAACAAGTAATAAAATCAATTGTGACCACAAACAACATTGTTTTTTAATTAAATATAATAGCACATATCAGAATGTATCGCATAGAGACTACTGTGAGAAGGAAACTTTCTTCAGTACTTGTCTGTGCACTGGGGCACAGTATGTATGGCAACTGTAATAATCCCTCTGCCCACTCTTGCCTGAAACCTGGACACTGGGGCCTCCTCTCCCTCATCATCACCATGAACCTCCCCAAGAGCTTCCCCAGTCACCATGACTCCCCATCACACTCAGCTAAGTCAATGAAAAGACAATCCCCATCACCACAGTTATATCTTTAATAATAAATCCCCCCACCAGAGCCCATAAAACTATTAATCTAGCAAATGCTATGGGGACTGGTGTCCTCCCACTCTCATCTCTCACCCTTCGGGGTCTCTCCCCTGAGAAGGGCAGAGATAAAGCGAAGATGGTGTCCCGGGCGCCGACATAAAGTGTTTGGGTGGCAGGATCGACAAGGAGAACAGAGTAATTGTATGTATGAGGGACAGCAAACCTGGTGAGATAGGAGTCAGCCTCTGGCAGGAAAAGGAGAAGAGAGGGGAAAATGAAATCAGTTACCGATTCATAAGGGTCCACAAGGGTAAAACAAAAGGGGCCAATTTTTGTTTTCATCCAAGTATCATTTATTTGACAGCCATCAAAGGAAAAAACAGAGCCTTGACAAGCCAATCTACACTTCCCCAAAGACAGATAACTGATGAGACTAGAACATTTAACACACAATGTAGTCAAGGATGCATTTCTACAAAAATGAAATATTTTATTAAAATAACAGTGTAATTATTAAGTCTGTAATCTCTGTTTATAGCAATGTAATACATAATTTGAAAATACAAGATACAATACTTTCCTAGTTTTTTTTTTTAAAAATCACTCCTATTATAGCAGCACAGTTTGTAATAGCTAAAACTTGGAAACAGCCCATTTGCCCATCAGTTGGAAACTGGATAAAGAAGATGTGGTTTTTCTATAAAATGGAATACTACTCAGCCATAAAGAATGAGAAATTAGATTCATTCAGAGGAAAATGGATACATTTTGAGGATATACTCCCAAGTGAAATAAGTCACACATGTGTAAATACCAAATAGTTTCTCTGATGTGAAAAGCTATCAGAGTACATAAGATCCTAATGAGATAATTAACAATGTGAAATAGGAAGAAAAGGGCTAAAGGTGTAGGGAAAGTGGGAAGGGTAGGGGAAAGGGAATAAGGGAAAAGAAAAAAATATGAGAAAATGAAAAAATTGAAATAAAGTGTTTTTAAATGGGGAGGGGAGGAGGGGGTGAAGGTAGGGCAGGGAAAAGGGGAAGAAATGAGAACCAAGACCTGTCATGTGAAGGTACAAGATCCCAATAATGAATGTAACTGTACTGCATACCTAAAATGTACCAATAAAAAGAAAAAAAAAATCACTCCTAAATAGTAACTTCTTCTTGCTTAAAATGCTTTGTTTACGATACTTGGGATTGAACCCAGGGCCTTCCCACTGAGCTACATCTCCAGCGCACCCCCGCCTTTCCTTTTTTTTTTTTTTTTTTTTTTGAGACAGGGCTAAATTGCTAAACCACCCCAGGCCTGGCTATAACTTGTGATACTTCCACCTCAGCTTCCCAGAATGCTAAAATCACAGGCAGGTACCACCATGTCTGGCTGAAATGTTTCATTCTTTTACCAACATCAGGAATCTATCTTTTCTCTCATCTACAATTTCTGACCTCTTCCCAGCCCATTCCACCCAGACAGTGTGGAAAGAGTATGTGCTCCAGAAATAGTCCAGCCTGAGGTTAAATGTGGCTCTTCCACTTATCAGATGTATGATCTTGAGAAAGTTACTTGCCCTCTCTGAGTATCTTTTCTCATATGGAAACACCACCATCCAGGGTTGTGAAAATTAAATGAGATAATATGTGGAAACACCTGGCACACACCATTTGTTTCACAAATGGTCCCTTTCTTCCTTAGGCATGGGTTCTGGTTTTACCAAATATAGAACTCATATATCAGCTTAAAAAAAAAAAGGTTGCCAGGATGAGTTGATGTCCAGGAATTCAGAGGGGTCTAGAAGGCAAGGTGTTACACTAAGCATGAGAGAGGAGAAAGAGTACAGCACTGAGAGGAGTGAGGGTGTACGTGGAAGGAGGAGGCAGGTGGAGTCAGCACATCTCAGAATGAATGATCGCGGCCAGTCTGTCTTGAGGCACCTGAGCAGTTGAAGCAGTCTACTGGTGCAGAGGTAGGATCCCCAGAGCCAAAAGATAAGCTGAGAAGGTAAATTCATGAAAAGGTATTTGTATGAAAGAATGAACGGTCTGAAAGCAGAATAGGCTTCCAACTGAAGTGATGGACATAGGTGTATGTGCGGGAAGAACAAGAGAATAACGGTGAGGGAACACTGAACTGGACAACCTCCAGCAACCCCATTCCCTTCCTGGGCCTCAGGGTCCGAATCTGCACGGTATGGGGCTGAGGGTAATGGAAACAGGGGCTGAGGAAGCAGCCAGGGTGCCTAGTGGGAGCCGAGGTGTGAGGAGCCCCGGCGGGGCTTGGGATGGAGCAGCACAGCGTGGGGGTCTCCATCCGGGTTCCAGTGGAGCATGGGCGCGGCGAGACGCTGTGCATCGCGTTGGGGCGCTCCGGATGCTGCCCCGGGTTGGGGGTGGGGTGACACCTGCCGGGGAGGGCTGGACGCGGTGCGAGGGAGGGACTGAGGGCGAGGGCGTCCGCGCCTTACCAGAGATGGGAAGCGAGGTCCTGGGCACTGAACGGGGGACGCGGCCGGACACAGAGCCACTCAGCACCACGAGCAGTACCAGCGGGAAAGGCAAGGCCAGAGGCGGACCAGGGCCCGGCGCATCCCGGGCCAGCATCTCTGGCTCCGCCTGGTTGTTGGGTGGGGCGCGTCCAGCCGCCTTCGCCTAGGGCCGTGGCGCTTGTTGGGTGGGGCGCGTCCAGCCGCCTTCGCCTAGGGCCGTGGCGCCGTAGGCCTCGGCCGCGCTCGGATCCCTTCGGCAGAATTCGGCCTGCGCCGCTACATAAAACAACCCGGCTCCTCCCCCTTCAAAGGGACCGCTGACGGTCGTTTTTTTTTTTCCTCAAGCCAATCATAATTGAGTAGAGGCGGGACTAAGAAGCAGAAGCCCAACCTAGGCAGAGGCGGAGCTAGACGCTGTGGTAGGTGGTAGTTGTACTCGGAAGTTGACTCGCTTTGTCCCTAGTGGGACCAGATTTGCTCCAGTCGCTCGAAAACTGCAAATGCCAGTATCTGTACTATAGGGAAAATATGCAAGTGAACATACGCACCAAATTCCTGGGTATACACACACATACACACAAAGCTATGATGACAAAAAAAAAAAAAACTAAAAATCAGCCCTTACCTTTAGGGAGCTCATAGTGAAATGGCTCCCCAAATGTAAACAAATAACTGCAAATAAATGAGTGCAACACAAGCAATGCATGCTTGCCTTAATAACGTGTATCAAGAGGGATTTTTGTCTCAGAAAGGAGTTTCACAGAAGAGGCAGCATTTGAACTAAGTCTCAAGGATAAGTAGGCCTTTGAGGGTGAGGAGAGCAAATACTGCCTATAGACAGCTCCACTTGAATATCCTGCAGACAAGACAAATACATGTCCTGAACACAACTACCTTCCTCATCCTAATCCCAATTCTTTCTCAAAGCACTTAGTCCTCTAATTTATAGCCTTGCAGGTAATTGTTGGTTTCTCCTCTTTCATCCACATTTGTATTAGTTATCTAGGCTGCATAACAAATGTAACAAATTAACTTCAATATTTGGCAGTTTACAACGATAAACATTTATCTCTTGCAGTATTTCTGGTGCAGTTTCAGGAGTAGTGTAGCTGTGCTTTCTGACTCTGTTCTCTAATTAAGATTACAGGCAAAATACCAAATAGGGCTGCAGTCATCTAAAGGCTTGACTAGGGCTGGAGATCTACTTGCAAGATGTATTCCATGCTTAGCAATTTGGTTCTGGTTGTTTGCAGTTTTTATCCACATAGATTTCATGGGTTTGCTTGACTGTCTTCAGAACATGAAATGGCTTCCTCAGAGCAAGTTATCTAGAAGGGCAAGGCAAAAGCCACGTTGTCTTTTATGACCCAGCTTCAGTAGTAACATACAATTGTTCCTGCCATATTCAGTTGGTCGCACAGCCCAACCCTAGTGCATTTTGGGAACAACACAAGGTAGAACATGAGGATTTCAATTATCCACCTTGGAGGCTGACTACCATACCAATTAAGTATTCACAGTGTCCTGATAATTTTGACTCATAAACAGCTTATATCCATCCTTTCCCTTCCATTTCCATCATAGTTCAGGACCTATTTTCACTTCAAAATGTTAAAATGGGCTGGGCTTGGTGGCACATGTCTGTAATCCCAGCATTCAGGCGACTGAGGCTGGCGGATCATCACCCTGAGGCCAGCCTTGGCTACATAGTGAGTTCAAGGCCAGCCTGAACTATATAGCAAGAGCCTGTCTCAAAAAAAATTTTTTTGTTTCATTTCAAAATGCTAATTGACTTGATCTGATCATTATACAATATATAAACAAGTATCAAAATACCACACTGTACCCCCATTAACATCTACAATTATGTGTTAATTAAAAATGAAAATTTATAGCCAGGCATGATTCACATACCTGTACCCCCAGCACTCTGGAAGGCAGAGGTAAGAGGATTGAAAGTTTGAGCTCAGACTGGGCAACTAGGGACTCAGAGAGACCCTGTCCAAAATTAAAAATAGAAAGGGGTATGGATATACCTCAGTGTGAAGGTTCAATCCCCATTATAGCAAAACAAAATAAAATCTTGTGGAGAAAAAAACCTGTTTCCAATCTCTCCTTTACCAGACTATCATCAGGGTGCTCTTTCCAAAGTACAAGTAGGTGGATATGATGACTCCTTGTTCATTTCTTGCTTGATACTTGTGTTATCTTTTCCTTTCCTGTGGGTAGTTCAGAGGAGAATTTCTATTCCACCAGAGTTAGAGACCCAGACTAACCAGCAGATAAGGACCAGGATGGTCCTGCCTCATCTTAAATTTGTCAAAGTATTATTATAGACAGATAAGTTAGGTAGAAATATTATAGGCAGACAAGGCTAGGCTGGGAGGAGTCAGGGCACAAGATGAGAATATGTTACAACTGTGGCTAAAGATGCATCTGTTGAAGGCTTGGCCTCATGATAAAGACCTAATGTCTTCCACAAGGGACAAGCAATACTATAAAATGGCATCACCTGGCCCAATAAAGTCTGTATAGACATCAGTCACCCAGGTGGGTGACCAGGACCTCCTGACTCATCTCTCTTCCAAAAAATGTTCTTTCCATGTACCCTTGCTACATGACTTTCTTCACCATTGGATCAATATTACATAAGCGGCTATGCTTGTAATCTTACTGGTCGATCATAGTTTTGTCCACTTTGTACCCACCTCATGATTTTGTAACCACTTCGTCATTTTGTTCTATAAATCTTCCTCTGTAAAGTGGGGTCCACAGCAACTCACTCAGGTCCTCTCCTGCATCCCAGGAGCTATCTCCCTCAATACATATTTCGTACTCTTAAACCTCCTTTGTTCCTTAGAATTCATTCCTCAGTTTGGGGGAACATGAATGTGGCCTATTTGACGTCTAGCAGGTTGGGAGTTATATTATTTCCTCTATCCTTTGGAGGTCCTATATCAAAAGAAACTGTAGGAATCAGCCTCAAGGAAGCAAGGAGAATGAGTAGAGAGGAGAGGGACACACCCTTGGAACGGAGGAATTTGAAAGGATTTAAAAGAGCTGCTTCAGTGATTAAACTCTAACTTTCGGCGGGGTGGGGGCATTATTTGGGGATGTGCTGTACACCAATCCTAGCACAATGCCTGGTACAGGGTGTCCATCACAAATGATTACTGAATAAAATAGTGACTGAATGATGAGGAGGGGAAATGGTCAAGCCAAGAACATGGCAGAGGAGCTATTAGAATATTCCGGGGGAGAGGGGCGGCGGTATCTGAGGAGAAAGCATTGATTTAGCACAGTATTTCCAAGAGAGATGTAAAATTCTAAGAATGGAATAAAGGACTATTCCCTGGGCGCCGGCAGAGGAAGAGAGGAAGGTGCGCGAGGAGCAGCCTTAGGTGGAGCCTGAGGTGAACGCCGCGGACCACAGCGCCGCTTGGCCTCTCCCCGCGCGACCGCCGGAGGTGGTCAGCTGCGCGCGGGAGCCTGGCGGCCCGGAAGGCGCGAGCAGGGTCGGAGGCTTCCTCTCACGAGGTTGGTCTTCCCCGTGGTCGGGACCGGCGCGGGATTCCAGGTGTGGCTCCGCGGAGGCTTCGAATTGCTGCGAGAATGTTCAGACTTCTTTAGCCACAAAAGGGAAAATAACCCTAAGGTCACAGAAAATGTGTTCGTTTTTTTCTCACGTGAGGGGAAAACTTGAAATGTTTAAGGCCCACGAAAATTTATTAATTTATTATTATTGTTAATGGGAGAAGGGGCCCATGAAGGCAAAGATGCTTAGGACCCACCAACCCTCCCCCCCCCCCCCCGCCCCGGCCTGGGGGATAGAAGCCAGGGCCCCGCCTGTGCCTGAGGAGCTTTGGCACTGAGCTACACCCCAGCCCCCCACGAAATTTGCAATGGGCTTTTGACAGAGAGCCGCTGAATAATTTATCACGCGGTGAAGCGTCCAGCATGCTATAAAAGCTTAGGCTAGGGTACTGCTTTAATGTGGAGCCTCGACTGGGCTGTGGGGTGGGGTGTAGGGGGTGGGAAAAAATGTCCTGCCCAGGAGCCCAACTTCAGGCCTCTGAGTTTTGTGGATCAGAAAGATGCCTGGGGATGGAGTGGGCAGGAGATGGCTCCACCTGAGGATAGATTGTAGGTGGAAGACCCGGGGAGAACTCGGGGGCAGGGTAAGGAGTCTGGGTTTTGTTCCAAAAGGACTTAGAAGCCCTTGAAGGGTTTTTAGTGCTGGAGTGACTTGCTTTTGGGGGTTCAAGGCCTAGTTAAAGTTTAACCAGTTTTCAGGAGACAGCATTAAAAGGATGTTCTTGGGAAAAGTAGAGTATAGGATCAGAAATAAAGTCAGTCAAATGGGGCATGGACTACTCCTGTGATACTAGAAGTGGGAAAGTTAAGCCAGGAGGATCCCCATGTGTTCGACACCAGCCTGAACTAATAGTGAGACCCAATCTCAAAACAGAAGAAAAAAAAAAAGTCAGATCCTGTTTATTAGTATACCCAGACATATCAGGTGCATTATTTGATGGATAATGCATCTGAGGAGAGAGAGAGAGAAGAGAGCAGACCTTTTACCTCATTTAAAGGACAGTCTTCCAATTGCACCTTAGTGTGGGGTCTAAAAATGATTCAGCAAGCTGAAATCACAAAGCTTCTTTTTTGGTACCAGGAATCTCACACAGGACCCTGCACTTTCGAGGCAGGTGGCAGCACCACTAAGCTAAATCCCTGGTCCTCGCAAAGATTCTTAATGGAGGAAGTTACATTTGTTTTCTAACTCTGAAAATTGTCGAGACCATCTTGAACTACATAACAGGACCATGTCTAAAACCACCTACTCTCCATAATTTTCACTTCTAGCATTATCACTTTTTGTTTCTTCGCTTTACTTTTTTGGGGGGCCACTTCCTTCTTTCAATTTTTGATTTTTGTAAAATATCACGTGGATTCATTGCAAAAAGATAAGAAAGTAGCACAATTATCCATTTTGCTGTCTGTGCACAAACTGAATAACTTCACCGAGAGAATTGTCACAGGCAGGGATTTAGCTAAGTGGTTCTGTTCCCTGCCTCGCAAGTGAAAGGTCCTGAGTTTGATCCCTGGTATCAAAAACAGAGAGAGAGAGATGACATAACTGATTGTGGATATCATGTGTATCTGGTGTTTACAGAATTATTTGTGGGCTGAAGAACTGGGCAATTTGCACTAATTATGTAATTAAACTGTTGATGGAGGACTATTATCTACACTATAATAGTTGACATCTATATATGTTGAAACTATGCTGAGTGCTACCTATATCTAAAATGACAGTTTTTAGATATGAAAGAAGATGGGCAAGGGAAGTTAGGATCTATTGGTACCTATTTGTTTGTATCAGTTTGTGTTTCAAATCCAGCTTTCTATGAAGAAATTGTCCCATGCACTTAAAAGTATAGTTAAGAGATATTTATAGTATGTTATATCTTTTTTTTTTTTTTTTTTTTTTGGTATGGGGGATTGAACTTCGGTCCTTGAATTTGCAAGGCAGGCACCTGAACCACTGAGCTAAATCCCCAGCCCTAGTATGTTATATCTTGATAAATAGTCATTGATTAGGATTTCTGGTAGCAGATTATTTTCAATGGATTAACATATTCATTTTTTTCAACTATACTCAGTACATAATTGGAACTCAATTAAAAACTGTGGAATGAGGTTTGGTGGCGCATGCCTGTAATCCCAGCACTTGGGAGGCTGAGGCAGGAGGATCATTGTGAGTTCGAGACCACCTGAGCTACACAGTGAGTTCCACGTCAGTCTCAAATGCATAGTGAGACCCTGACTCAAAACAACCAAAAGAAAAAAAAACCCTATGGAATGAACAAATAACAAATTCCATGAATTTGGGAGGGAACTTTTTAAAAATATTTTTATTGGTATATTTTAGATATACAATACAGTTACATTCCTCTTTGGGATCTTGTACCTTTACATGACATATCTTGGTTCTTATTTTTTCCCCATTCCCTTAGCCTCCAGTCCCCCCTCCACCCTTCCCTATTTACAAATACTTTGTTTTCATTTTTTTCTTTTCTCATATTTTTTCTTTTCCCTTCTTACCATTCCCCTACTCCTCCCACTTCCCCTGTTCCTTTAGACCTTTTATATCAAGAATATCAAATATATCAATTATACATTTTGACCCTTATTTATACTTTTAGTTTATCACACCAGAGAAACGATGTGGTATTTACACATGTGTGTCCTATTAATTTCACTTAAGAATATGTCCTCAATGTGCATCCACTTAGCTATAAAGTCTCTAGTTTCTCATTCTTTATGGCTGAATAGTGCTCTGTTGGTGGTTTCTCTAGCAGTGCAGAAGCTTTTTAAAAGGATGAGATCCCAGTTGTTGATTATTTGTGCTAGTTCCTGTGCTACTGAAGATTTGTTCATAAAGTCTTTTCCTATGCCAATAGCTGGGCGTGGTGGCGCACACCTGTAATCCCAGCACTCTGGAGGCTGAGGCAGGAGGATCGCTGTGAGTTTGAGACCAGCCTGGGCTACATAGTGAGTTCCGAATCAGTCTTAACTACATAGTGAGACCTTGTCTAAAAAAAAAAAAAAAAACACAACAACAACAACACAACAAAAAATTCTTCCTAGCTTATCTTCCAACAAGTTTAGTGTTTCTGGGGTTTTTTTTGTTTTTGTACCGGGGATCAAACTCGGGTCCTTGCACTTGTGAGTCAGGCGCTGAGACCACTGAGCTAAATCCCCAGCCCCAATTTTTTTGTTGTTGTTTGGTTGGTTTTTTTGGTACCAGGGGTCAAACTCAGATCCTTGTGCTTGCAAGGCAGGTGGTGGAACCACTGTGCTAAATCCCTGGCCCTGGTAAAAGATAGTGGTCTACTTTTAATCTTTGGCAAGTTAAAAGCCAGTTTTTCAACACCATTTATTAAAGAGGCTATCTTTCCTCCAGTTAGGATTATTAGCTCCTTTGTCAAAGATGAGGTAGCTGAGTATGTCTGGAGTTGTATCTACATCTTCTAATCTATTCCACTGATCCTTGGCTCTTTTTCTTTGCCAGTATCATGCTGTTTTTAACGCAGTGGCTTTGTAGTATAATTTAAATTTGGGGATAATACTCCCTGCCATGTCTCTGTTGCCTAGAATGGCTTTTGCTATTCTAGGTCTTTTCCAGCTCCAAATGAATTTTTTATATTATTTTCTCTAGTCCTGTGAAATATACTGTTGGAATTTCAATAGGGATTGTATTGAATATGTATAGCAGTTTTGGAAGTATGGCCATTTTTACTATATTGGTTCCTCCCAGGAACAAGGGATTATCTTTCCATTTTCTTATATCCTCTTCAAGCTCTGTTTTCAGAGTGTTGTAGTTCTCAATGTAGAGGTCTTTTGCTTCCTTTGTTAGATTGATTCCTGAATATTTCTTTCTTTTTTTTTTTTTTGGATGCTACTGTAAAAGGGATTGTTCCCCTAATTTCTCTCAATGAGTCTGTTATTTGTGTACAAGAAGACTATTGATTTTTGAGTGATTACCTTGTATCCTCCGGCTACTCTACTGAATCTGTCAATTAAGTCTAGAAGTCTTTTGGCAGAGTTTTTTGGGTCTTCTATGTAGAGTATCATGTCATCAGCAAATAATGACAGTTTAACTTATTCCTCTCCTATCTTTATTGTTTTTATTTATTTCTCTTGTCTAATTGCTGTGGCTGATGTTTCCAAAACTATTTTGAACAGGAGTGGTGACAGTGGACATCCTTGTCTTTTTCCTGATTTTAGCATGAAGGTTTTCAGTTTTTTACCATTTAGTATGATGTTGGCTATTGCGTTTTCATAGATAGCCTTTATCAAGTTGAGATAAAGACCATCTATTGCAATTTTCTGCAGGGTTTTTATCATGAAGGGGTGTTGAATTTTGTCAAATGCCTTTCCTGCATCTATTGAGATAATCATATGGTTTTTGTCCTTGACTCTGTTAATATGGTGTATTACATTTATTGATTTATGTATGTTGAACCATCCTTGCATTCCTGGGATAAATCCAAATTGGTCAGGGTGTATGATCTTCTTGATGACACTGTGTATTCTGTTTGCCAGTATCTTATTGAGGACTTTTGCAGCTATGTTCATTGGGGAGATTGGCCTGTAGTTCTCTGTTTTAGTTGGGTCTGGTTTTGGAGTCAAAGTAATACTTGCTTCCAGGAATTAATTTGGAAGTATTGCTTCCCTTTCAATTCTATTGAAAAGTTTAAAGAGTATTGGCAATAGTTCTTCTCTAAATGTCTTATAGAATTCAGGAGTGAATCCATCAGGACCTGGGGTTTTCTTTCTTGATAAATTTTTTATTATGTTTTCAATTTCACTCTTTGAATTGGGGTGTTTAGAATTTTTATACCTTCTTCATTCAACTTTGGTAATTCATATGTATCTAGAAATCTGTATTTCTTCTGTTTTCCATTTTATTAGAGTACAGGTTCTCCAAGTAGGTATTGATGATCCTCTGGATTTCTGCTGGATCTGTTGTGACTTCTCCTTTTTCATTTCTAATTGCATGTATTTGAGCCTTTTCTTTCCTTTTTTGGATAAGGTTGGCTAAGGGTTTCTATATTTTATTTATTCTTTCAAAAAAACAAGTCTTTGATTCATTGATTTTTTTTTGTATTGTTCTCTTAGTCTCCATTGCAATTGATCTTTATAATTTCCTCCCTTATACAAGCTTTGGGTTTGTCTAGCTCTTCTTGTGTCTAGAAGCTTAAGATTCAGCTTTAGGTTGTTTATTTGAGCTTGCTCTATTTTCCTAGTGTAGGCATTCACTGCTATTTCCCTTGTTGAACTACTTTCGTTGTGTCCCATAGATTCCTGTTTGTTATATTGGCATTATCATTTATTTGTAAAAACTGTCTAATTTCTTCTTTAATTTTCTCTGTGACCCATTGGTTGCTTGGGAGAGTGTTATTCAATTTCTTTGTGTTTGCAAAGTTCTTGCAGTTTCTTTTGCTATGGATTTCCAGTTTAATTGCACTGTGGTCTGATAATATACACGAGATAATTTCAACTCCTTTACATTTACTTAAACATGTTCTATGAGCTAGTATGTGGTCTATTTTGGAGAATGACCCATGTGCAGCTGAAAATAAAGTATATTCTGATTTTGTGGGGTGGAACACTCTGTAGACATCTATTAAGTCCATTTGTTCAAAAGCTTGGTTCAATTCTAGTATTTCATTGTTGATTTTTTGTCTAGATGACCTGTCTATTTGTGACAGTGGGGTATTTTGGTCCCCCACTACAATTGTATTAGTGCTTATTTGGTTTTTCATGTCCCTTAACATTTGTTTTGTATAGTTGGGGGAATTAGTATTTGGTACATATATATTTATGATTGTCATCTCTTCCTCTTGGATTGTTCCCTTTACAAGGGTATAGTGACCTTCTTTGTCTCTCTTAATTAGTTTTGGTTTGAAATTTACTTTGTCTGGAAATAAGATAGCTACCCCTGCTTTTTTGGGGATCCTGTCATATGGAGAACTGTTTTCCATCCTTTTACTTTCAGTCTGTGAGTTTGTTTTTGGATTAGGTGTGTTTCTTGTATGCAGCATATTGTTGGATTTTGCTTCTTAATCCATTCTGCCCGTCAAAATTTTTGATTGTTGAATTGAAGCCATTAACATTAATGGTTATAACTGTGATTTTGACTTATCATCTTTGTGTTATTATGTTGTTGTTGGCTCTTTTTTAATTTCCCCCCCTCTGAGAAGGAACTTTGAAGACAATATTTTCACACATTCATCTGAAGAAACACATCTATCTCAAATCTTTTTTAAAATTTTTGTCATAAAGATCCACTTGTCTGGGCCAGGGATTTAGCTCAGCGATTCGGTGGCCTGCCTTGCAAGTGCAAGGACCCGAGTTCAATCCCTGGTACCCCCCCCAAAAAAAGATCCACTTGTCATAAAACAGGTTTTTGAATGGAGACAGATACTAAACAGATACTAACAGACACTAAAATCAGGAGATTCTAGCAGCTAGCTGGAAAAAACCCTTTATCACATCCATGTATGGATTGGCTGGCACTGGGAGAGAGAGATAGTGGCAGCTAGCTGGGAGAGATTTCATCCATGAATGGATGAGCTAACACCAGGAGAGAGAGAGAGATGTAGCAACTAACTGGGAGAGGAATTAGGCTTATATAGGTTTTGGAGGAGCAAAAAAATATTTATGATATGCTCAGGTGTGTACACAATTACTGGACTTCTCGGCATGAGGGAGGTTATATACTACATTTTTAGTCCATTTGCTATTTACTGAGAAGCTGCTGTTTTTTGCTAAAAACAGACTGTTTACTTTGTCCCGTTTGTTTGTGAAGGATTCACTTAAGTCAGACCTGACAATTTTGTTTTTTGTTTTTTTGAGACAGGATCTCACTATGTAGTCCAGACTGACCTTGAACTCATTATATAGCCCAGTCTAGCCTTGAATTTTCGGTGATCTTCCTGCCTAGCCTCCTAGTGTTGGAATTGCAGTCCTGTGCCATCCCTCACATCATTTTTAAAGATTCTAAATTCCACAGTGTTTCTGAGAAATATCACAATTATCTTTCTCATAAAGAAATTTTAATTTGCCCTGCGTTTTCAGCTAAAAAATTATGTAAAATTATTTTAGTTACTAGAGGTAGAAATATATTTTTGTCTCTTATCTTGTTTTTTGTTTTCTTTTATGTTCTTTTGAGATACTATCATTGATAAATATAACTTATATAGAAAAATGTCATAAAATCATGTACATATAGTTCATTATGAATTAATCATTCATGTAACCACAATAAAGATCAAGAAATAGAACATTTCTTTGCTTTGACAGCTTGCTTTGGCAGCACAAATATTAAAATTGGAATGATACAGAGAAGATTAGCATGGCCCCTGCAAAAGGATGACATGCAAATTCGTATTAAAAAAAAAAAGAAATAGAACATTACAACAACGCTACCCCCTTGTCCCTTCTAGTCATAGTACTGACCTTTTCCACAGAAAAATCACTACCCTAATTTTTGTGATAATCATTTCTTTGCTTTTCTTTACAGTTTTATCGCTGTGTGTATATGCATCCCTAGATAGTATAGCTATTTTAAATTATTTTTGAAGCTATGTAAATGGAATCATGTTATATGTATATGAATGTATTCTGTGTCTTGTTTTTATTCAATATTAATTTTCTTAGATTCATCTGTGTTGTTGCTAACTGTAGTTCATTCATTTTCATCAGTGTATGTGTGAATATACCACAATGTATCCATTCTAGTATAGATTAACATTTGTTTTACTCGTTTTGCATTAATTGTGAACAAGATTATTATAATCTTTTGCTGCTTTCATCTGACTTTATTCATGTACCCTGGTGCGTATCTTTTTGCACAGGTTATATTATTGAAAACAAAAAATCTGAAAAGATCTACAAATAAATTGCTATATTTAGTGAGAGAGTACAGAAGTGTTTTCAAATGCAAAATTAATATACAAAAAGTCAATATAGTTCTATAATTTGCAAAAAACTAAAATTGAAATTTTAAAAGATGTCATCTAAATTAATATTTAAAAAAGAAGAGATGTACCAGGAATGGTGGCCCACTACTTTAATCCCAGTGTTCAGGAGGCTGAGGCTGTAAGTTCAAGGCCAGCCTGGGTGGGCTACATAGTAAACTCAAGACCAGCCTGAACTCACCAGTGAGACCCTGTCTCAAAACAAAACAAAACAAACAGAAAGTGACAAGGGATGATGGTTAAACCAGTTAAATTTCTTTTATAATCACAGATTACTTAGTTTTCCAAATTTTTTTATTTAGCATTGATTAAATACATTTTTCTAGAAATTTGTTCATTTTTTCAAATTTATTGGCATAAAGTTGTTCATTGTGTTTTCTTAGAACCCTTTTCATGTTTGAGCAGTTGTCATGTATCCCCTTCTCATTCCTGATAATGTCTCTTTGCACTCATTTTTTTTGTTATTTCTTTATTTGAATCCTGGGAAGGGTCTTGAAGAGAGTTTAAATTTTATGTTATAGGAGATAGGAACAACCCAGTCATTTTAACCAAGGGAGAAATGTGATCATATTTTTATTTGCAAGGATTACTATGGATAAACACTGCTAAACACTGATGAATAAAATTAATGAGATAAGTTTTACACCTTTGGAAATCTCACAATATAGTGGGAGATGCAGTTATAGCAACAAATTGTTACAGTAAAAGCTAATAAAGAAAGTTTAGAAGGCAGATACTTTAGTTTGAAACTGAAATTTGACTTTTGAGTAACTTTTTCATTAGCATCTACAAGAATTCTCAGGCTTATCGTCAAACATCTAGACCCCTTGGGTGCTATTAAATGAAATAGCCTAGAAAGGCTTGATTTAGTACCCAGTCTGACTCTTTTCTGGGCCTAGTACCTCAACTTGTATTCTTTGTTTCAACAGAGCACATAATTCAATTTTGTGAAAGCTAAGGATTTCTTTCCTTCCTTGTAGGTATAAACAATATCCAGGCTGTGGCTGTAATTCTAGCTCTGGACTGGCTGCCATGCATCATGGGCGAACTATTGGCAAAGGGCCCCCCTCTGCCACCCAGATTAACCAGCACCCTCCACGACTTCTCATTGTGCACATTGCTCTACCATCCTGGGCTGACATCTGCTCTAACCTCTGTGAGGCTCTGCAGAACTTTTTCTCTGTGGCCTGCAGTTTGATGGGCCCCACTCGCATGTCTTTGTTCAGTTTATACATGGTACAGAACCAACATGAGTGCATCCTCCCATTTGTGGTAAGTACATTTATATTTGTTCATTTTATCTTGGAAGAAACTATGAGGTTTCTGGAGCAAAGATCATGGTCATGATTATGGATACCATTACCTATACTGGTTTTCCATATCCATTAGCCTCAGGTCTCCCAGTAAAAGTCAGATGTCATCCTGCATATACATATGGAGACTCTTACTGCAGAAGAGAAGTCCCAAAATAATTAACTCAGTGGTTAAAATAGTCTCCACTCCTGAGATGAGAGAAACTTAGGCATTTATTCTTCTTTGAAATGTAAAAAGCTGACTCCCTTTACCTCCTTTGAAATATAAACAATAAGGAAGTAAATCTACAAATCTCTTCATAGGTCTCTGACTATTGAATAACACTTTAACATACAAGACATGTCCACTACACCAGGTACCAGTTTTCTTCGCTCAGAAAACCCTAATCAGACAAAAAACATAACGAAATTTGAATTATTTTCAGGTAAAACTAAGTCCCCCTAGGTTTTAAAAAGCATTTACATTTGAATGTCATCATTTGAAGACTTGACTGAGTTTGGAAGATCCATTTCCAAGATGATATTCACATGGCCCTTGGCAAGAGTTCTTTTTTATTATTATTAGCATGTGTATGTCTCATTTTACAGAATCAGCTTCTCCCAGAGCAACTGACCCAAAAAGAATGGAAAAGCAAAGCGGAAGCCAAAATACCTCTTATGTCCCTGTCTCAAAAGTAATACAATGAATGTGTTTTTTCCCTGAGATTAACAACATAGAAAAGATGTGTGTTCTAACAACTCTTATTCAGCATAGTACTGCAAATCCTAGGCAGCACAGTAAAGTAAGAAAAGGAAATAAAAGGCATAGTTTGAAAGGAAAGAAATTAAACTGTCTTTATCTGAAGATGACATAATGGTCTTTTGGATGTTGTATTACTACCTTTTTTTTTGGACTGGGTATCAAACTCAGGACCTTGCACTTGCAAGGCAGGTGGTGGAACCACTGAACTAAATCCTTGGCCCTTTATGTTATACTACCTTTTGAGGACAAGAGTGTCAAAGAATTTGTGTGGATAAGTTTAAATCACCACAGTTCTCATTTAGAGATGTACCAAACCCTTGAGCCAAGTGATTTGTGCCTGGATTCTCAGATACAGAAGCTCAACCCTCAGGTTTTTCCTCACTGGCAGTTTTACTGCCAAGAAATTCTTAGTACATCAACCACCAACTCTCTTGTAACATATAACAAAGCATTTGTCATTTTCAAACACACAATTCACACAGATTTGCAAATATGTTTGTTTGTTTCTTGGTTTTTGTTTTTTAGGAGATAGGGTCTCTCTATGTAGTGCTGGACTTGAATTTATGTAACCCAGGCTAGCCTCAAGCTCATAGTGATCCTCCTGCCTCAGCCTCCCAAATGCTGGGATTACAGGCATGTTCCACCATGCCCAGCTTGTTTCCTAATATGTTAATAACATTAAGTAGATACTGTATATATAATGCTTACTATATGTGAGATATCATACTAAATGTTTCTTTATAACTTTTACTTGTATCTTTTTTTTGTTTGTTTGTTTGTTTGTTTGTTTTTTAAGATAGGATCTCTCTATGTAGTTGAAACTGACCTGGAACTCACTATGTAGCTGAGGCTGGTCTCGAACTCACAGGGATCCTCCTGCCTCAGCCTCCCAAGTGCTGGGATTACAGGCATGCACCACCATGCTCAGCTCACTTGTATCTTAATACATTGCATTGTAATGTGTCATTGGGCAAATAGAGTTCATATACACAAACCTAGATGTTATAGGTCCACCACTCAGTGTGGCCCTTATTGATGCAATCGAGATGCAGTGAATGCAAGATGTATAAGACTGCTGTTGTCATAACACAGTATATTCTTTTACGGTAAACTTTTTTACTAATTCTTAGTGCATTCTAAAATGCCTGTAATAGCCAAGGGTGGTGGCACACGCCTTTATCCCAGCACTCAGGAGGCTGAAGCAGGAGGATCACTATGAGTTGGAGGCCAGCCTGGGATATATAGCAAGTTCAAGGCCAGCCTGAACTATATAGCAAGATCCTGTCTCAAAAATAAGTAAAAAAAACAAAAACAAAAAACTGGTAACATAGTAGCATATTGTTATCAAGCATTATGTGCCACATATAATTGTACTATACTTTGTATGATTGGCAGCACAGAATCACCACAAACATATGAATAATGCTTTACACTGTAATATTACAGTGGCTACGACTTCTCCAGGCAACAGCAATCTTTCAAATCCATTATAATCATATAGAATCACTTGGGTATATACAGTCCATCATTGACTACATGTTGGGCTGGAGATTTAGCCCAGTGGTTCCAGCGCCTGCTTCACAAGCACAAGGACCCGAATTCGATCCCCAATACCAAAAAAAAAAAAGCAAACATCATTGACTACATGTTGTTTATTGATGTATACATTCAAATAATTTTTTAAATCTACAGTGTTGTCTTTTAGCCTCTAAATCTTAAACTTATTTTACTAGTTCTCAATTACTATTTTAAATGGGATACTAATATAATGAGCTATATAAGTCAGTCAACTTGCCAACAAGAAACAGAGGATGTACTCAAACTGAATAATTTTCAGAGATATAGAAAGGGAATACTTACAGAAGTGAAGGCAGAATTTAGGAAAAGTGAACAAAAGATGGCACAAAAATCAGAAAATGCCTAGGACTATAAAGGAGAGAGCCATCAAATGAGCTACCTGGAGGACCTATGGCCTTTGTTAAAGAAAACTTAGTTCTTATGAAAGCATTATAGAAGCCTTTTCCATAACTATTGAAGTAATTAGAGGGGCTTTGGCAATGAAATTTCCCAGTGGAGAAAAGAGTTTGATCTCAGCTCTGAACACAGCATTGGCAAGTGGGAATTTTAGTCAAGAAGAATGGCTGGAGTCAGGAGGTGGAAAATGTTACTAAGAAGTAACATCACATGTAAAGGAGATTTTTTACTATTCCAGCCTAACAAAATTCTTGCTGAAGATAGGCCAGGTAGCTAGACATTACCTGGGGTGGTGGTAGATCACTTTTAATCAATTAATGAAAGTGATGAGATGTTGAAGGCTAGAGTTCTTGCCCTACTAACTTAGCAAGGGTTTTTGCTAAAACTGAATTATACAAGGAAGTACACAGATAGGCCTAGAGAGAAACTCAGCAGCCTGATTAAAATTTAGCCAAAAACTATAATAGTACACAGGATCCCAGTGGGATAATTAATAGTGTGAAATAGGAAGAAAAGGGCTAAAGGTGTAGGGAAAGTGGGAAGGGTAGGGGAAAGGGAAAAGAAAAAATATGAGAAAATGAAAAAAATGGAAATAAAGTGTTTGTAAATGGGGAGGGGAGGAGGAGATGAAGGAAGGGCAGGGACAAGGGGAAAAAATGAGAACCAAAACCTGTCATGTAGAGGTACAGGATCCCAGTAATGAATGTAACTGTATTGTATACCTAGATTGTACCAATAAACTCAATAAAAAAATAAATAAATATAAAAAATTTTAGCCAAGCAAAGAATCTTTATCACCTTCAGTAGAGACAGACAGCTATCCAATGACAATGTGATAGGGAGGGGAATAAATACCTTGACCTTACTCTCCTCCCAAATCTACATCTCTTGCTTGTGCCAGCTGGAAGAAGAAGTGTGAAAGGAGCTCAATGAATCAATCACTCTAGATAAGCTTCCTGGGCTCAGATCAAGATACAGAAAAGTAGAGAATCATATGCAAGGTCAAGTGAAAGATATACAGAATAGGGGGTTATTGGAAGATGAACTTGTGTTCCAAACAAAGATAAAAAGATTTTTTGTTCCTCTTCAAGTGGCTGTGTTATATCCTCTTGACTCCCCAGTACATTTGGCCCTTGTTGAATCCCTTGATCCCTTAATTACTCTATTAGGAAGACAGACATCTTTAGATCAGAAACCATTGACTTGTCAGAGCCTAGGAAGAGAGCTGTTTCCAGGTGTCAAATAAATCAACAAGCCAAAAATTAAATGGTTAAGCCTTTAATCACTCTAAAATAGTATAAGCAAGAGTCTAAAATGGAAACAGTATCTCCTTCCTCTGTTCCACCCCCCACCCGGCTCCCCATGAAAAGTGTACTGGCTGAGGGTCAAATGAATCAGCACAGATGTAAAGATCATCTTACTGATGAGGGAACCCTGTATAAAAGGCTCTGGCAGTTTTATGGCCCTGGGATTGGGGAAAGCAAAGAGAGAAGGATAAGAGTGGAAAAGTACTGAGTACTGAGTCAGAGTAGGAAAAGTATCTTCAACATTTCTCCCTTATTTCTTCATAAGAAGCTCTTGGCAAAATTCCCGGTGGAAGTCATAGTGCATGGCCTCAGATAAAGAGACCTAGGAATGAAGGTGCTACAGATAGGAATACAGATATTCCAAGAACAGTGTAGGCTGGAGAGGCCTAAGTCCTTAACTGGAACCCTTTTCAGAGGCTGCAGTGCATTATCTGTGCACCAAGTCAATGCAGGGAGGGCAGCTTCCCTCCCCCACCACCTCTATAGGACCTGCTGTATAAAGCCTTTATATTTGTGTGTGATCAGGCCTGAAAAATCAAGCAAAGGTTTTTAACCAGAATTCAAACTATTCACTGATCACTCAGAAAAAATTATGAGCCAAAATATCCTTCCTGCAGAATAGTAAATCCAACCCTATTTACTAGTTCAGTAAAATTACAGGAACAGTGCTGCTACCTTATATATGGAACAATCTAACCTTTATGAAAAAATATGACTTTAAATCCTTTATCATTGTCCTATTTAAATATATGATATTTTCTATCTGCAGAACCAGCTCAAAATATAAATATAGAAAGATAATGTGGGAAATTGTATCCAAGATGAGTATCTCCTTATGTTTAATTTTTGAGTATGATGAAATAATTCTGAACATATTATAAGAAATCACAACAGAGGACCCATAATTAAAATATTAGAATTTCTTTTATATCCATT